GGACATTCTTACTGTGATGGACTATATTGATGTATGTTTTGTTATACAATTTGCACAAAATCTGCTTCTATATTTTACTTTGCAGGTATTTTTGATGCTGCCTCACTGTGCTCCCTCCCTTTTCTCCCAAAGCACACGAACTTGCTCACACACACACACACATGTGCCTGGGCAGTTAGATACAGAAAGGAGCACACACACTCAGAGCTGTAGAGTTTTAACACTGTGATCCTAATTTTACACTATAAAATAACACTTTAAATGATGACAATGTAGAACACCATTGCTCTAGTAATAAATGATAACAATTTAGGCTATAATGCTCCAAAATAATTCACAACACTTTCAATTGTTTGGTATTTGTATATGAAGGACCTTTTGACTTCTTACAACAGACATGCAATTTAGTCTTAGGCAGCATGGATACAAAGGTGAGGAGAAACAAGACAATAGAATCTATACTCAGATGAAGAGTAAAGACTAAATCTAATGTGTGGCCACGGTTATGAGTTGGACCAGACACATGCTGGACGAAATTAAATGAATGACATATTTAAAGAATCTGTAGCAAAAGTTGATTGAAAAATTAATTTACATACTAAAATCTTCAGCAATAACTTCAAACAACAGAAGATAAAAGTTCAGAAAATATATGTGCAAATCTGTTATTTTAACCAGGTAGGCAATAGATCATAAGGCAACACAGGTACAGCATCAGAAGTAGATACTAGTAAGTAGAATATCGTCTGTGTAAAGATTGACCTCAGTCAGGACCTTCACATGTTCTGCAAAGAGACAGTCAGTGTTACCTTATCAGCTACTTGTTAACTGATGGAAATTATGTCATTTAGTGAATAACAGCACTACAGCAGAGACAAACACACTATTTGTCAAAGTTGTGAGAGGAAGGAGGGAGGGATTAAGGGAGGAGCAAAACTGGGACTCAAGGACAGAAAAGACACAAACTTGTCAAACAGTGGTGTTTGATCCAAAACCAGACAGAGATCTTTCTCTTTAAGATGCTGTCAGTGAAGTTCAGTCTGTTTGTGACTTTGTTTCTGCTCTCAATAAGAGGTAGGTGAGATCATCAACATTAAGAGAGCTTCACTGATAGAAACCTTTAGATTGTAAAGTTACAGAGTTATCTCTTCCTTCAGGTGTCAGCTGTGAAGAACTCATTCCAGTCAGGAATGAAGAGTTCACTTTAGAAGGCAGCTCTGTTACTCTGTCCTACAAATACTCTAAACAAGCAACTGTTGGAGATCATTTTTTCTGGTATCGACAACATCCAGGAAAACCACCAGAGTTCCTCATCTTTCATCTGGAATCAGGACAAATACTAAGAAATGCAACATCTGGAGTGCAGATTACAGTGGAGCAAGAACAAATTGATCTGCAGATCTCCTCTGCTGCAGTGACAGACTCTGCTGTGTACTACTGTGCTGTGAGGCCCACAGTGACAGGAAACACCAAAACTCTGTACAAAAACCTGACAGCTCCTCTGAAGATTTACTCACTGCAGCTCCTCCTTTTACTGAACAGCAGCGCCACCAAGTGGACACTGACAACACAATCTAATGACAAGTTACAACATTACTCCTGTTATTAATAAAACACAGTTAATCCAGATCATGGTGTTTAATTGAGGCTATTTCTGTACAGTAAGGCACTCCACAAGGAAGTCTTCTTCTACACAGAATGCTTTGGTATCACTGATGATGAGACAAACTAAAATGATTACAGACCCATGTTGATGAATTAACTATTCCAGGGTGAAAAGTGGTTAAAGAGACTTTGTTGTAACAGAAAGTTCACATGTTAAAGCTCCTCATTATGAGCTGCTCTGGATAAGAGCATCAGCTAAACAGCTGAGATGTAAATGAGATGTAAATGTTGAGAGTTCCTCAACAGATGATGAAGAGGAAGGGCCAATGATGTGAAGGCCCAGATCCATCAGAGTATCAATGTTCTTCCTCTCTCTCCTCCCCTCTCACTGCAGACATGAACCACTGGCTGAGAAACATCCTGATTCTGACTCTCTGGCTAGGTAACTCTTTAAACCTACTGATTGTTCTCCTTTAATCAATCATCTTTATTGATCCATCTCTTCCTCTGCATGTTCTCTTCTTCCCCAGAGTGTAAAGGAGAAGACAGAGTGACCCAGCCAGCAGGAGATGTCATTGCTGCTGAAGGAGACACAGTTACACTTGGCTGTACTTTTGAGACGAGTTATCCAGGTCCAACTTTGTTCTGGTACAAACAAAGATGGAAACAACAGCCCCAAATTCATGTTGAGTCGCATGCAACAGAACGATGTGAAAACAGAGGATAAGTTTAAGGAGAGGTTTTCATCAACAGTTGATTCCACCTCAAAATCACTTCCTCTGAAGATCCAGAAGCTTCAGCTGTCTGACTCTGCTGTGTACTACTGTGCTCTGCAGCCCACAGTGACAGGAAACACCAAAACTCTGTACAAAAACCTTTGGAGCAAAGACAACAGAATACTCCACAACGTCCACTAGAGGGAGTCACACACTGTTAAACTTCAGTGTGATGATGAAGTCTGGATTTGTTTCAACTTGAACAAATGTATGCAATACTGTCAATATACTGTATGTACTGTTATACTTCAGTATTGGAGAAAAGCATGTTCACAGTTTGAATGAAACATGTCTATAAACTGGTTGGCATCACAGACTCAGGTTCTCATTGCTTTTGTTCTCGTCTTTATAAAAGTTTCTCTGTTGTTCTCTCAGGCTGTGATTTCTTGTGGTGTACCACAGGGTTCAATCCTGGGGCTTCTCATTTTCTATCTACATGTTGCCTTCAGATCAAATTATTTTTAAAACACATCAGTTTCCATTGTTTTGCCAACAATATTGAATTATAGTTCCCATTAAAATCCAGCAATCATGGCAGCTGGTTTTATTCATGTGAAGTTCTGGTGTTCCAGACCTTCCTACAACTGAGTGAGTCTAGAAATTTTACGATTATTTTTGCCCCTTCAGCTGAAGGGAATAATCTTATATTCCAATTGGCTACAATTGCATTAAATCTCAATCCACCCAGCAGTGATGTCCAAACCAACAATACAGTATCTGAAATACAAGAATTAATGTCACGATTGATGGTGGGGCAGGTTGGTGGACCCAAATGCAGGACACAGAGCAAGCGAGTGCAGTTCAAAGAAGGTTTAATTAAAACCGAGCACACTTACAACGGAGTGGCTGAATCCAGAATCCAAAAACAACAGAGTCCAAATAAACAGGTGATCCAACAGAAATCCAAATCCACAGAAACAGGGTGACACGACGAGCAGGGCAGGTAAAACAATACAACACGAGACAGAGCGTCTACACACTACAATGACCGGACACAGACTGAGGAAACAAACAAGTATATACACACACACACACGGGGTAACGAGCTGGGAGGGAGCAACACAGGTGACCAGGATCAGGTTAACGAGGCAGGCAGAGAGACAGCAGGGAAACAGAGAGGCTCACCTGACAGGCAGACATGGGGCAAAATTAATAACCAACACAGACAGAACACGTTACAAATTACCAGACAAGAATCTAATTTCAGACAATAACAGAAACCCATGTAAACAGACACACACCGACCAACTATAACACAGGGATCATAGCAGACAAAACCTAAATGAGAAGACAGAACTAGAACACAGAGCAGACTAAACCAAAATGATGCAGAGAAAGAACTAGAAGCAAATACTACGACATGAACTAAAGCACAGGACTAGGAACAAAGACATGGAATAAAAACCCAGACTCCCCAACAAGACACACAGCCAGGACTGAAACCCAGACACAGAGGAACCAAAATCAAAGCACAGAGAAGGCACGGCCAAAATAATATAATTCAGACAAGCTCAGGACAGGATCGTGACAATTAACCAGGCAGCAGTAACAAAGATGTGTTCAATAATATACAGTATATAACTAAACTATTCACTTTAGATAGTTTAATAAAATTTGCAGACGCTTGCCTTGTTTTTAAGGTGTTACATGGGCTAGCCCCTCCCCCACTTAACCAGTTCATAAAGCAGAAGGATGGCAGAGGGGGGGTAACAAGGGCAGTTAGTAGAGGGGGCTGTATTGTACAGTACAGACGTAGTAAGTTTGGACAGACGGCATTCTCAGTTACAGCTACCCGTTACTGGAATAGTTCACTAGGGGGTGGTGATGGAGCTTAACCCCTCGTTGCTCCAGAGGAGTGCGACCTCTGACATGTAGAGCAATTGGAAGTTGTTCAAATTACGGGGGGTCTGACCCCCCTAGTTAAGACTTGGACCCTCCCAAAAGAGGCAAAACCAGCAGTTCAGGGGGGTCTTTCTTACCTGTATTTGTAAATATTACAATACATTTCCCATACTCGTGCCTTATATTCAAAAAAGTCTTGAAAGACGATTTCAGACACCCCTAAAATGGACCGTACCATTTCCTAACATCGACGTTAGTTAAATGTCTTGTCCGCCTGCATCACTTGTAACGCAGCTGCTCCATTCCGGTGCATCACACGCTAATGCACTGAAAAAAAAAAATCCTTTGGATTTACTCGATTTTAATGTGTACATCGGTCCCACATGATCAGAATGTGGCTAACATAATTTTCCTGTTTTTCCTCAATGAATTATTGCTTGTCAAACCAAAATTATTAATTCATATTAGACAGTTTAAAAGAATCATGTTGACTCAACATTACTTACGTTACTATAATGCCATCATATTGTGTAATGTTAATGTAAATCCATGATGTCCAGGGTACCTGATTATCAATTGTAACTCCAACTTGATTTCTTAATGCTTATGTTACTCAATGAAATTACCTTGAAGGTACATAATTCCTTTATGTCCTAGGTATCTGAGATAGGTCTGTAAATCTTACTTGATTTGGTAAAGTTTATTCTATCTAAATGTATTGCAGGCATCGGTTCGTGTGCGCAGATATTTGCATTGACAAAAAAGGCTGACTCAGAGTTTTGCACTAAACGTTCGTTATATTGAACAATACAAACTTTATCCAAAAAGAGGACTGCAGTTGTGTTTGCGGATTTCAACTGTTACAAGTTGTGCATTCCTAGGAGCAAATACAAAACATCAATAAAACGTTTCCCTTAACTAAACCAAATGTCTTGTGTTAAAATGTTGCTGGCACTGAAGGGCCTATTTTTTAGAGCCTTTCTTAGAAAGTTTACTCCCACACCTGCATACCCCATTTTCACTGTAGGTAGCAGTATTAATTTACAACAAACAAAGTAATCAGTTCTTCCTGAAGAACACATCTAAACCTTGTATTCACAGTTGTCAGAGGATTCAAAGCAACATACAATATATTGCTAAAGTTTTTAAGGGGACTCCAAGCAGCAAATGGAATTAACATTTTTAACAGTCAACAAGAGTAAATGATAAGGCAGTGCAAATGGTATAAGATGCCTTTGACAACAATTGAAATGTCTTGTGTCCTCATGTTGCAGGCAGTGTAGTCTCTGACGTGCCTGTTTTTTTAGAGCCAGTGCTTTATTAGACAGTTTACATCCGACCCTGCATACACCATTTTTACTGTGCTAACAGTATATCTTTATGAAAAAAGTAAACATCAACACTTCGTAAACATTTGTTTTTAACTAAGGAACAAATATATAGATCTCTTAACCTTGTATACGGAGTTGTGAGAGTATTCAAAGCATCAAATACAATATATTGCAGAGGTTTAAGGTGACTCAGACCAGTAAATGAAAATGTTAACAACCCATTTTTAAACAGTAATCAAGAGAAAATATAAAGCAGTCCAAATGGTATAAGAATACCAAAGTTGTCTTTGATGACAATTCAAATGTCTTGTGGTCTAATGTTGCTGGCAGTGTATCCTGACCCTTTTACTGAAAGAGCCGGTTTTTTAGAGCCAGTGCTTTGTTAGAAAGTTTACTTCCATCCAGTTCCATGAAAATCTTTTGGACTACCTCGAAGGTGTACCGGAGGTCAGCAGGGTAACTCAGGTTTAAGGCATAAATCTGTCCGAACAGCATAGCAACAGCTAATGCTAACGTATCCAGATCTTGCAACACCTTCATGCCTTCAAGGACGACTCCAATGTCCTCTGGTTCATCACTTGAAGCATGTTCTTTAAGAACAAAAATCCCAACAACGGTGTCTTCAAGAGCCTCATTGATGGCGTCTTTATCCATGGCCTGTACCAAAAAGACAAAAGTAAATGACCCATTAACAAGCGCAATTGAGAAAATGATAAATAAATATGAAACTGGATTAGGGTTAAAATGTTGGATTTATTTCACAGACACTTAGATATAATAGCTTCTTTTCACATTTTTATTTACAGCATTATATGTTGAAATTTCAATATCATAATCGGCTATACATTAACTCATTGGGAGAAAACTGGCAGTTCTGTGTAAAATGAGATGTTGAGCTCCCCCATATTGCCAAAATGGCGTGATCCTACTTTTACAAGATTCGACTGTGAGAATCAGGCTACACCCATCGACTATTTGGGGTCAGCCCTATAGGCAACATTTTTTTTTTCTTTAGAATACACAAAATTAGTCTGCTGTGCAGAGCAGGGGGAACCGGAGGTGAGAGTCCAGAGGGTTGATTGGCTGAGCCGCTCCCTTGGAGGGCAAAAAAAGTTATTTCTTGCTGCTTGCCAACCGGATAGCAAGTGATACACTGTTACTATGGGTTTTTTACTTTTGCATTGCCAAAATGCTGGATGATAGTTGTACTTTCTGATGCACTAATCGAGAAAGAGAAAAGCCTGAGCTGTGTTAGGTGAGGGATTCCCCACAAGGCAAACGTAAACATTACGACAGTCGAGCAGCAGGGCGCTTTTTGACGATAGAAATGCGGATCGGATGCTGTAACATGGATCGGAAGTGCCGACACTTGCAGTTTGTGTTCATATCTTTCTTTTTCTTAAATTGAGAGGTGATCCAAATAAATGTAAATGCTTTTGCGGCGTCTCTACAGGGGAGTTGCGGCGTGATTCGTTGTGTTGGTTTGTTGTTTTGCCCCCAGGTACCGCAAATGTCATGTGACTGAAAACTATGAATAGGCCTTGTACAACTATTTAAATGTGTTCATTATATTGTTTGTTGTAGCCTACAGTTTCCTGATTAATTTTAAAATGTAGGCTATTTGACATTTTTGATCTTTAATTAAATAAAGCAATTAGAGTCTATAGTCATGTCTCAATTTTGTTAGATTGACCAGTAACCAAGAAACATTGTATTGATTTTATAATGGTATAAAACTAAAAACGTAATACATCAAAATAATAAATACATTCTCTCAATCAATTAATAATTCCAGCTCAAATGATCAAGGAGAAGGACAATAGAAGATAAGAGAAAAAGTAAGCACCAGTTCATGTACATACCACATATTCCCGCACAAGGTTTTCTGGATCTTCACCCATGTAGATACAGACTCCCTTAATGATACACTCTCGTCCGGTGTCTACATCATCACACTGAAAGGAAACGTACTTAGTGTCTTCATGCAGCTCTTCTGCTTTATTTTAAAGTCAACTACTGCTGTAAACTGTCATAAGAGTACATATTTCTCTGAGAACATAACACCTTACACATTATGGTACAAGCCTTTCTGTGAGCTCTAAATCATACAGGAAGTAGATTGGCAGGAAAGAGGAGGTAGAGAAAACTATGAAGATAAATAAGTAAATTAGAGGTGCTCGGATCAGGGTTTTTTGGGCCGATCACGATCACCGAAAGCAGTATCGTCATCCGTTACCGAACACCGGGTCTATTTGAAGCCTTTTATTTATCATGTAGCATTATACAGTAGGATGAAACGATTACCGGTTTAACGATAAACCATGGTAAAATTCCCGCCGGTTATTATTACCAAACACATTTTAATTACCATGATAACTGGGTTCGGTTACCGCACTATTATAAACTCACAGCAAACACTGTCCAGCATCAAAGTAAGCGACGGTCTCCCGGAAGCAGGTGCGCATGTGCAGAACGCAACGTGGATTTGTTTGGGTCAATGACAACACGGCAGAAGACAACACTGAGGAGATTTTTCAGTCACTCTGAAGTCTGGTCATAGTTTAGTTTTTATGAGAGTGCTGAGGGAAACTTGATTGAAGCAAATGAGCTTATAGTGAAGCAGGGTGAGTTAACTTTTAGCTTTGGTTTGTCTGTCTGACTTGCTAACAGCTTGTAAACTGAAGCTCTCAGTGTTGCTGCTCTTGTAAAAACGCTACACGTTGTTCTGTTGCTGTGTGCGTCGGGTGTCAGCAGACTTTATTCGTCAACTGCATATGATAAACACATTACAGAGTTCAGTCAACTAACCAGCATATCTCATTCATTTTAAATCCAGTCAAATTAGTTGTAAAAGTGTCAGGAGAAACGCTGCAGACTGCTCTGTATTTATGTCATTTGTTGTCTTCTAAAGACTCACTGCATTATCTATAGAATATAAAATCTTGATAATGCACACTTAGATGGTTTTCATATGTTTAAAAAAAAAAAAGGTATTGGCTGTTATTTTATTGTTTATGCAAACAAAATGTTACTTTTATTTGTAGTTTTCAATATAAATCTTATTGAAATGGTTTCGGTGTGTGTATCAGTACATTGTGATCTTTTTCAGAACATTTTTACAACAATGTGATAATACTGATAACCGTGATCATTTTGGTCACTATAATTGTGATCTGAAATTTTCATACCGTTTCATCCCTATTATACAGTATACTGTGTATTTATCATCTGTTAAGTATCATGAAATGACAACTGTTTTTTATTGCCAGGAAACATGGGCAACAAATGCCACTCCCTCTCTCTTAGAGACTTAAACCATAGCAGCCTTTGCCTGGTTACTGCAAACATTTTTTTAGCTTAACAAATATAGCTTTCCTGTGAAATAAACTACAAAAACAGAACAAACAGCATCTTTATAAATTTACTTCAACTATAAAAACTGCAACAAAAAGGCTGTAGCCAAAATATTTAGGAGATAAAGGAGCACAGGCATCATGAGTCGATGATAAACTCTGAAACAGCTGCTTTTTGTTCTGGAAAGCTCAGGCAGGTTCTGTGGGTTTTAGGGGGTAGAGAGAGGAGTAGAGAGGGAGAGTGGGCTACAGAGAGGAGTCATAACTGTCACTATTGGGATTTGAAAATAAGGGAAATTTAACTAAATAAAATGTTAATTCCATATTATACTGTTAGTACTTATAGTTACTATATTCATTATAATTTGGTTTACCACTAGCATAGGCCTAATATTATTTCAGTGGCTTGTTTTCATTAATTAAATCCTTGTGCAAGAAGCACAGTCTACATCTAATGTTTTACATAGGCCTACTGCCACTGGCTTTACCAGAGAGTAACACTTAAAATTTTATTTTATTTTATAAAGGTTAAAAATATGGGAGATTTATAGGAAAACATTTAACGGGAGGATACCGGCTGAGAACAGAAAAAAAAAAAAAAAAAAAAAAAAAAAGGAGAATCCCAGGGAAAACGGGAGAGTTGACATGACACGAGAGAGGAGTAATGTGAGGCTACATCCACACTACCACGTTTTTTAAAGACAGTTAACGATATACAATCGAATAAGATTTTTTTACTTTTTGCTTTGCATGACTGATAAGACCGAATCAGAAAGCCAAATGTGAGTGTCTGTGTGAGTGTTTTTAAAGTCCTCTATTTTTGCCCACGGGGTCAGCACGTTTTCAAACTTCTCCGTTTTAGGTCTTCGGATTTGCCGGTTTATCTGGACTTGAGGCGGAAATGTAGCAAAAGCTCCCCGTTTAAGACAATTAAACTCTGGTAGCGGGCAGGCATGTGTGTGTGAGATGAGCACGACCGCAACAGTTTCACATGATCCTCCTGCTTGTTGCTCCGCTTGTCTGATTGCTGCTCAACTCTCATTGTAAATGATTATCTGGAGCACATCACTCGCTTCCTGTCTGAAAAGGACTTTGGTGCTAGCTAGCTTTGAAAACTGCTTAGACTGTGTAGTGAAACCATTTTAGCTGCCGTTGAAAATTTGTCTGGCAGGTATTGCATCATCTGATAGGCTTTTCTGATCTGCCTTTTTAGAGACCACCGATCAAACTAGTTAAAGCAATTATCGGCCGATAACGCTTGGTGAACGATCGATCGAAGAACCCTTAAAGTAAATAGAAGAAAGGTTAAAACTGAGACAACAAGATGCACAAATAGCAAAGGAGAAAGATGAAAAGAAATGCACTTACAGCTTACTAGGCTTTCTGTACAATTTGAATGCCAATAAATTATGTGGCAACTAAAACATTCTACCTTTCTTCCAAATGTCTTAATGTTTTTCAAAAAGCAATCAAATTCCTAATGTTTAAGTTTTCCCATGACTGTGGGAGCCCTGTACCACTTACATCTGCCATTTGTGCAATGATTCTTTGTAGCCTTTTCCCTAGCTGTCCTCCTCTGTTTTGGAACAGCCTCATCAGGTTGTCAGAGTGGAGATCCAGCTGAGACAGGAACTTGGATTGAAGTGGGACGGTGGGATTCTCTTGAATTCAGCGTTGATCTGAAAACGGGTAATAAGCACAAAGGAATCAGGTTCAAACGTAGACATCCAGGAGAAAGCCACTATCACACATTCAGCAGACCACTAGGAGGGAGATAAAGCACAGACAAATATATACAATCAGGTATATTAGCAGTGTACCAAGACTGTCCTTTTATCAACAGCAAATGCAAAATGAAAAACACAGCATGAAAAAGTCTTACCTCAGGACGTCAAATAGGGCAGGCCACCTCGCCATGAAATCCTCCACCATTGGTCCATCACAAACTACTTCATGTCTTCTGTGTCAAAAGTCTTTTCCATCTTGAGTTTCACAACCTCCCTGTTGTTCCTCTTCTTTACATCTAATAGTAGAGCTTTCTGCATGGCCTCAAGACTCTCCTCAGTTTCTGCTGTTGGGTATGTCGGGCAAAAATTCACCTCTGCTCTCTTTGCCTTTTTGACACCAAAGGCTGCACTGCATCTTCCTGCAGGTTTGTTTTTTAAAGAGTTCACTGTTACCTCTGGGCAACCCAGTTTTCTCAGGTGTGTGCGGTAGTTAGATATTTTAAACTGGTCTTCCATCCGCCACATCCACTGCAGGACCCCTTCTCAGTTAAACATGGATGTGTCTTGATAAGACTCTGGGCTACCTGTTCATCTCCTTATCACTGACATAAACTTTATACTGCACAATTTCCTCCACTAAACCATCAAGGATGGCTGACTTCAACTTGGGATCTGGAATCAGTACAGTGCCGTTTCGAATATAGGCTAAACTTGCCTGCTGAAGTTTTAATTCAGCATCATAGGAGAACTTAGGCACATGAAAAACAGCTGGCCAAGAAGACCGCGAGCTCGTCGACTCACTCGATGACAGTACATCTGTATCCACAGATTCAGCTGAGAGGGACGAAGAGTCACTTACAGAGGAAGACAAAGGGTTGAATGCTTGGGGTATTAGGACTGGAGAACCCATCTCATTATTATACGGCAAAGTTGGGGGCATTGCCATATCAATGACTCTAAGAGTACCTTTGTCTTCTGCTTCTGAAATTGAGGTAAGGTTGAGGAACTCATTTCCAAACAAGGAATCCATAAATTGAAGTCGAAAATTGCCCTGAAGTCCACACTGTTTCTTGACTTCAATCATAAGGTCATCAATGGATGCAGGGAGTCCATGGGAAAGAGTCAACCTCTGAGAGCTGCCATCAGTCAAGACGATCTTAAGGATCACAGGAGTCCCCATCTTCAAAGCTGTTTAAGGACACACAAATTAGACATCAGACATTCATACATTTTATATCTTAAATTCAGTGTTAAAAGCATACTTTTCCAATTTAAACAAATAGGAGAAATTAACAAATAGGAAGATAACCAAAATAATACTGGGTCACAGCTCTAATTTAGGTTTATATCGCAGAGTACAGTCTAGACCTGCTCTTTTATGAGCGCTATGAGAAACCGTTTTTATGATTTGGCACTATAAATAAAATTTAATACTTTAAAAAGATTAAAAAGACTATTTTAGACTGATTGTTGAATCACTTTTCCCCTGAAAAAACCATCACTGCAGTTCAGTATAAAGGTTATTACTGTAAATCTGGTCCACATCAGAGGTCAGTGTTAGGTAGGAATATGGTGGGTTGTTAAACTAGATGATTGTATGAACTGTAATTCTAAAAGTTTCCTTTAGGTTAGACAGCTACTACAATTCTAATCATGACTTTTCCACAAAGAAATGGTGACAGGTATGTCTAAAGATTTTATGGGTTTTCCCTCTGTGAGTCACTAATGTGAGCTGCCTCAGTTTCCCAGCATGTCAGTATAAAAGCAGGATTAGCTTCAGTGGTAAGCTTAAGAGTCTTAATATTAGAAATGCTACCTCTGATGCAGAAGAAATAAGTAAGACTGAACAAAATAAATTGAAAAGGTAATGTTGAAATGACCTAATAAATTAAAATTTTAGACTTTTGAAAGACTTATGACTTAATCATTATACAATAAAATTTCAGACATTTAAGGCTAAGGAACTGCAGACACCTGGAATAGAATTATGAAAAGGGTAGGTTAGAACAGTTACACACACACACACACACACACACACCTTGTTACTTTAAAAGTATGTGATAAAGGCAGGCAAAAGGTAAGAAGATGGTGCTGCACCATCCTCTAACCAATTTAATAAAGTAGACAAAGCAAATTGTCCTGTCCCCCCCAGTTGCTAGTGCACCTTTGATTTCAATATGCCTTTTCAAAGTCACCATGCGGGTTGCTCCAATCTTGTAGTCAACAAGCGGACAAGTATCAAGGAGTTCACTGAGTGCCATGACAGTGAATGTTCTTGTGGGTGCTTGGCTGAGTTCAAAGGCTCTATAATGCTCTCTGTACCAACCACATAGCTCTTTGACAATACAGAATATACTCTCATGTAAAATGCAGATTTGGTCAATTTCACTGAATTCAGGCATTCCACCCACTGCTCTGTGGGCCAGTATCATTCCCTTCCTATATGTTATACCCTTGGTTGTCACACACTGTGCAAGGTGAACCTCAGGTGTGTCAGAGAACTTTTTCCTGATGACTTGGGCTATCTCCTCTTTGAGTAAGTCTACTGGTAGAGTGGATATAGCAGAGACCTCTAGGTCAGACTTGCTCAGAAACGGAGCGCTCAGATGGTATGCAATCATCATCTGATGCTTTGAGGCTAATGAGAGTGGCACATTCTTGAAGCAGCTTGTGTGTCTGATAACCTGCTTAAAAAGCTATGCTTAGCCTCAAAGCGCATTGTCCACTGCCCAACAATTGGACCAAACAGCCTAATCATCTGGGGGTAGTGCTCCAAATAATGGTGTTTTGGAAGCAGCTTGATGTCAGGGAACAATTCTTTGTATCTCTGCCTGTGCTCAGTGATTTTACTTTCCAAAAAAGCCAGCGAGTCATCACTATGCACAGGGGCAACAATAAGCTCTGTAATGTCCTTCAGATCCATGAGAACAAGCCACGCAGGCTCATCTTCAGGTACAAGGGATCCAACCAAAAAAGGTAGAAGCGGAGCAAGCTCCAGTTTTCATGAGCATTTCCCCCCACCGATTTTGAGCTGGAAAAACTTTGTGACACTACATGAGGTTTGTTTGTCTTGTCAGCCCATTTGTAGGGAAACTTCAGAATGGCATTGTTTAGGTCTGCTAACGTGAAAAGCTTTCTTGATATAAGCACTGTTAAGCAATGAGCTAGCTCTACTGGGATTATACCCTCAAAAACATCATGGGCAAGATCAGGTGGGAGCCAAAGATGCATTAAAATGAGACAGATTTTTTGTAAAACGCATTCCTTTTTCACTCCACAAAAACCTGTACCTGTGTCTTGGGCTTGTTGACATGGGCCTGATGAAGCTCCTTTGTTCTCAGACTGAAAGCACCAGATGCAACAGAATGTAGCTGAATATCAGTACTCTTTCCTGTGCAAAATCTGCAACAGTATTCCACCGAAAAACTCTGCATAAATCCTGCAACGCTGTGTGCTCCCAGGTTGTCTGCCACTACACTGAGAACTGTACCTTTAACTGACTCACCTAACAACGGGACATAAACACCCAGCTCCTCCAGAGTTTTCAGATCTTTTGAAGAGGTTCAAAGATTTGATCATAACCGTAGGTTTTAACATCATCGGTTTTGCACAAAACTGACAGATAGATGACAATGATGAATGAGATCCCGGAGGCAAGTTAGCCAATACCCAATAAACAGCACAAAGCTTGTGTTTCTTTCGCGAGGTGCCAAGCGGGTTGCAGGTTTCAAAATCATCCACATAAAAATTAGGATGATCCTTGGCTTTTCTCCTGTGAGGAAACTATTTTCCCTAAATAGGGAACCATCTGTTGCTGACTTGAACTGATATGACACTCCAGAACATGTGCTCTCCTGTTTTTGATGGCCCTCGACAACTTCATCAATGATATCCTTTCTACAACAGCTGTTGTAAGGACTTCAATATCGGTACATATTGGAAACTGCGTTTGTTTTTAGCATCAAGAATATATTCCACTGGCTCTACAACACTGAAGTTCTCCTTATAATACTTCTTACGCTGATATGCGGTACTGAGAGGGCCACCTTTTTGTATTGACCTTTGAATAGGATTACCAGAACAAATTGCATTAACAGTTTCTCTAATTATATGTTCATCGACAGGGAGGTTTCTCTGATGAAAGATCTCACTCACATGTCACAAGATAATGGAACAGGTGCAGAAAAAGTCAAATGATGGAGTTCTCCTAAAACACATCAACAGCTGTGCTGGGCACATGGTCCAAATGCTCCAACTTCAGCAAAGCAGCTGCAAATCTTTGCTCTATGATCTTCTGCAAGTCCTCAGTTTGAGAGGGACTGTTTGAAGGAATGACCACATTTGACTGTTCGACGAACTCCTGAGTATTTTCCACCAATTCATTCACAGATGATATCCTGTACGTATAACTACTCCAGGTTTAAAATCAACCAAACTGTGAAGGCAGTGCTTTTGGTTTTTGTGTGTTTAAATGTGCAATAAATGTTTGTTTTAAAGTCGCAACCTAAAACATACAAATGACAGTCTCATTTCTTTTGAATGTGCATTTATAGAGCAAAATAATCCCTCTCTGATGCTAAATCACTACAAGCACAGAGTTGGCAATTGAATATTGCTTCCTCTTTGCAAGTGACCCCTGTGGATGAATTTTACTTTGGTGGACTATAAGGGCATTCCATGTCTTAAATGTGCATCGACAGTGCAGGTATGTACATGGAAAGCGAGAACTACGTCCAAAATGTGGATGCTTTAACTTGTAGTGATGCAAAAGATGGACCTACTTGACACCGTTTCTGTGCAACCCTTACAACTCCACATTCCCACCACCTAGCCCTGTAACATACATCAAGATCGTCATTAGTCACATCATTAAAGCTCCAATGAAATTCATATATAATCAAAAAGGTCCACTGCACTACCAAAATTCAAAACACACGATGAAAATTGCTATTACTTACAAATTGATTCATAGGCCTTTAAATAGGACTTTACTGTTTTTGGTTCTTGTTCGTAAAGTGAATTATGTGCAAAAAAGTGAAGTTTAAATTTTTCCAATAATCAACTGACAAAACATAATTGATACTTTCCATCTTTAACTGAAGCTCTACAGTTATTTTTGGAAATGTACTTCTAAGTCACAAAATCCAGATTTGGGGCTTAACAACACAAATATATAAATGACATCACTTACCACTATAAAGCCTTTGAGTATGCATTCTCTGCAAATAAAATGAAAGACCTATAAAAATATGTATAATCAGTGAGGTGAACACAAAAACAAATATAACAAAAGTCAGAGCAAGATGCAACAGATATTAACTTTTAACGTTAAGTATTTTCTGTAATACAGTGCAATTTTGGAAACAATAGCAAGCTGAAAATAATTAAATAACTGTTAACTTAACGATTTACGGACGGCTTTTCAGTGTGTTTAAGTTTAACAACAAAAGAGTGGATCAGGAAACTGAAATGATAACTTAACGTTACACAC